ACGTCCTTGATAAGTGCCCAGGCGGCTGGGGCGGGAGAATCAAGGGTCGTGCTGCGGCAGGCTGACGGAACCTCGCTCCCGTGCCCGGCTGCCTGCGTGCCGGTGCTGGAGCTCTCCGGTTTAAAGGCCTTGAAGCAGGAGTGTTGGTTCTTCTTGGCAGGTTTTTGGTACCATCAGAATTCACCTTTAGGTCTACGCCTGATTTGTTAACAGCTTTGGCCGATTTTAATGTTTCAGCCAATTTATCGCCAAATAAGAAGGTATCAACTTTTGTGTTTGTAAGATGTTCCCTCATATCCTTCTTTAAAGCACTCAGAATGAAGTGTCGTCCAGTTATGGAGTCGCTATGCTGTATGTCACACATTAAACGGCTGAGATCCATAAGTTTTTGTAAAAGTTCTTTATCTTTTTGATTAGAATTAAGCTGTGTTGAAATAGCTTGACCTAAACAAGATATGGCTGATGCCATTTGTTTCTGTTTTATCTCAATACCTTTATCACGCTTAATAATTAGTTCAGGAAGCGCTGCTTTTATCTCGGGATTTATTGTGGGAGCACCAACAAGTAAGCAGTTAGCTGGTAGTGGGTATTTATGTACTATTTCTTTTTTAAGCTCTTTACTAATCCCTTCTTGGACGATGTGTTGAAATCGTAATGACAATTCTTTATGGATATCGCTGCCATAATTATTAGTAGACGTTGGATCAGCTCCAAGAATCTCTAAAGTCTCAGTATCTAGCTCCTGAGGCTCCACATTTGACGGGCCTGGACAGTTTTGACCAGCATCTTGATCCGTAATCGGATTATTTTTTGCTACAGACTCCCTACCGTTTAGATACGTGAACACATCGTGAGTCACATCTACATCGTCTGTTGCAAGGTTTACAGTCTCTGGTTCTAATATCTCTTCCTCAGGAGGATTTATTAACCAGTCTACTGGTTCCGCTATTAATTGAGGCGTCTCTGAAATATGCATCACATATATATAAATATATGATGTGTATATGTATAAATTTATACAATTGCATAAAAAAGTATAGTATGTGTCGAGTTCGTCCCGATAACGGCTCTGGTTACATACTAATATAGTTAACGTGGATACGTTAAAACCTAATATTTTTTGTCTCCAATAAATATTATTGTTTATACAATACACCCCTATAATCAAATATTTTCTATAACTGAAATCAAAAGTAAGGACTTCTCTTTTTTTTTTTTTTTAAATGAAATGCTATATTTATATTTATTATATATTCTATGGGTGTTAATTGAAAATGTGATAACGAAAGTTATCGAAACATGGCTGTTGTGCACAATTCCCGCTGAATTGCACGTCAACCGTTTTGTTTTGAATGCGGTGATATAGTCCATGTGACTATCTCGATTGCATTCTTTTGGAGACAAAAATTACTTTTGTGTATAGATATAATTTTGAAAATAATTACCTGGTCTACAAACAACACTATGCAATGTTGAATCTTGGGTCGGTGAAATCTCCTCACGATCACTACTATTCTTTTTACGACGTATTTTTCGTTCCAATTTTTGTATTTTTCGCATTAAATGACCTAAATCTCTTTCCAAATCATCAGAATGTTTCCTTTTTGCCATTTTTTTTTTCTAACACGACAACGCGATGTATATGTGCGGAGCGGTGGAGCACTAAATTGCGTATGAACAGAAAATAAAATGAACGGACTAAGTAGACTATGTACCTAAGGAAAAAATAAAAAAGGGGGAATCCCTCTCTCAACAATAGTGCAGGGGCGGTGTCACTTGTGCGTAACTACATGTTGTTTATATTCTACAAATAATAATCTCGAGGACGAAGCGCGAAGTATAATAACGTAGTTTATGCTTGAATGCGAATTAACAATTACCTGCAACTTCTTCTGCGTGACCAGAATAAGTTTTGCAACAGGTATAAAACGTTGTCTATATCCTTCATCAAGACAAAAAAAAATAGTAGAAGTCAGGGTTTTTTGTTGGAATACACCTACCAAACTATTTTTAAAGGGTGAAAGTATAATGGTAACCCGCCTGCGCTATCGGTATACGCTGGCGGGCACCAGTGATAGATAACAGGTGAAGATGAAGCCAGGTCAGTTGGTCCATCATGTAGAATTTGACAAGAATTAATCACGATGGTTTCCAGGGGGACCCATGTGGAGGTCGACCTGATAGGGTATATTGCTAGCCACGGGGCTGTTATTACTCATTACTAATAATCGCTTTTCGTCCCCTACCAAACTATTAGGTCTAGATACATCAAATTCAGTTCTCAGAAGTCTATCTCTATCAATTATTAGGTACACCTATATTTTAGGGGGAAAAGGATTGTTAGCAATGGAGGTTGACAACCCCATTGCTAGCAATATGCCCTATTAGGTCAACCTCCACGTGGTTGAATTCCACCCCCTAGAAACCATCGTGCTGCCTTCCAGGTGTATTCATCACGATGGGCTAACTGACCTGCTTCATCCTCACCTATCATCCTTCACTGGTGCCCCGCCGGTGTATGTGTATACCGATAGTGCGGGTGGGGTTACCATTCCAAAAACACCTATATTTTAAGGATTTAATTATGTGCATTATGTAACGAAAACAAAGTAATCGTCGTTTAGTAACAAGATCTATTTACCTAACTATGTATTTATCTATCTATAATTTTAATATCAACAAACATTTTTAAATCTTATCAAAAAAAAATTAATAATCTAACCTAATTATAAAAACAAAAAAAAAAACATGTAAACATGATTAAATGAATGATTAATTTGTTTTCGAAAGGTTTTTTTCTTTTAATTATCACGGTCCATGGTCGCAGCGAAAGGGGCAACGAAGGGCAATGTACGACCGAGGTGCGACCAGTGCATCCTGCTTTTAATTTCAAATGATTTCTTCTATCCATTATGTATTTCACAGCATAATCATTTTTTTTATATATATTTTAATGGATGATAATGGAATGGTAACACCGCCTGCACTAACGGTATACGCTGGCGATACTCCAGTGAGGGATGATAGGTGAGAATGAAAAAGCAGATCAGCTAGCCCATCGTGATGAATACACCTGGAATTCAGCACGATGGTTTCCAGAGGGAATCACGTCGAACTGATTGGGTACGAGTATATTGCTAGCAAAGGGGACCTTAGTTTCTCCATTACTAACGAAATTTTGCGGCTCGCTTTTGGCCACAACAGAATATCAATATTTTGCTTTTTTTAGGGCAAAGCAATAAGCTGAGTTCTGACTATTTTTTAGTGTTACTGTGACATACGCATGAAGGGAAAAAATTGTTACTTATTTTATGCATTTTTTTTTATTTTTGTACATGTATCTTTTTTTATCTTTTTTCAATGTGCATTTATGTCTATTGTTGTGTGCTGTAAGTAAAGCAAATAAATAATTCATCTATCTAACAATCCCTTTCTTCCCCCCCCCCCCCCCCCAGCTGCATCGTCATACCAGCTGTTATCCGTCCACTGCTGAACATAAGCCTCCCCCATAGACTGTCATAAGCAACAGGACCGTTCCTTATGGCAATTTTTAATTTGAGGTTTTTTCCAGTAGTTGTTACGCTTGCCAGGTGGGTTGACAACCGCAGTTAGGCTTTTTGTGATGTTTTAAAAGGGACGCTGCTGCCCTTTTCTAGACCATCATGTATCCCTATATATATAATCACCGTGTGGGACCCGGCATAGAATGGACCACACCTTCCTTTCCTCTGGGTGTCGTAAGAGGCGACTAAGGGAAAGCAAGAGATGGGCAGCAGCGTCCTTCTGCTTAGAACATTATAAAATCCTAACTGCAGTTGCCAACCCGCCTGCCAAGTGTAGCAACTATTAGTCAAATTCCCTTTCTGGACTTCTCCTTCGCTTATATCGCAGCAGTGGACGATAAAGGGCTGATATGACATATACGAACGAAAGTGTTTTGAACTTATTATGTATATAGCTTCCAACATTTGTGGCGACATCGTTAAAAAATTAACACAACTTTTTTTAACATAAGTGTTTTTCCATATATTTCTTGCATTAATGCATCAAATAGTTTTTTTTTTACAATTTAGAATGGCAAACAAGCTGACGGTCAACCTGATGAAAAGTGGTAACCGTCGCCTATAGACGTAAGCAGTATCATGGACATAACGGAGTATACTGTTTCCCCCCATGCGTTGCCATTCCTAAGGACTTAGGTGTTATTCCTCTGTACCCTGTAAATTCACTGCCATATCCCACCTTTCAAATCGAAACACAACCATGCAAACACAACTGCTTCACGGTAGAAACACGAATAGGACAGAGGTGCCCAAACAAACGACTTTTGTAGTCTCCCTCTGGTAGTTACCGTCTTTTTTCTTTGGTCCTCTACCCAAAGGTTATCTGCAAGAGATTTCTATAGCAATAAGACCGCCTTTTGTACTTCATACATATTGCACCACATAAAGAATAAGACAAAACAGCGAGTTATGTAGTTTTAAATTGTTAATTTATCAAATATAAGTTTGTCAGGCCTTTTCATCCTTGCCTTTCATCGCTCACTGGTGCCCCGCCAGCGTATACTGATAGCGCAGGCGGTGTTACCATTCCATGATCAACCATTTAAAAAAACAAGTCAAAATTTGATAAATTTGTTACGCTTAAACTGTTGAACAAATTTCAAATAAATTTGTTACACAGAAAGCAAATGTTCTAGCCAAGCCTTTTCCAAAGTGGGCGATAACGCCCCCTTGTGGGTGCTGCAGGCCTAAAGGGGGGCGGTAAGAGACCCAGAAAAAAATGGGGGCGTTGTGTAGAGGCTTGGGGGGTGGTTTGTTGATCTTGAAGTAATAGTGGTTTTTAAGTAGGTGAAAAAATGGGGGCGCAAAAAAATAATTTACTCTCAAAGTGGGCAGTAGGCAAAATAAGTTTGGGAACCCCTGTTCTAGACTGACACAGAAGCCTAATTCATACGGGTAAAGCCGCAACAAATAGCTTGTAATAAATAAAAAAGATAATTGATTTAACACATTTTATTTTAAATAACAACAATACGTCCTCTAATCCGGTATATTTACAATATGAGCACATACAGATAGATTTGCGACAAACATATAACATAGCACTAAAATATATATATATATATCACATTTGATATACATATACACAAAATAGGGCAATTCTATTTAAACCATACATACATGATTTTAATTTATAACTGGTATAAAATGTATTAGGAGGTCCATGGATCAATACCACGCTTTGCTTTCATGGCTGTATGGTACCTGCATAGAATAGGCCACCCCTTCTCATCCCGTGGGTGTCGTAAGAGGCGACTAAGGGAGGATGAAGGATGGACAGCAGCGTCCCTCTTAAAACATCTTTAAAGCCTAACTGCGGTTGCCAATTCGCCTGCCAGACGTGGCAACTACTGGCAAAACCCAAGGGGGAGGTTTATGTTCAACAGTGAACAGTAAAGGCAGTTATGGTGATGATGATGATGATGATGATACATTGTATTACATTTTTAATATTAAATAAATTATTATTTATAATAAATTTTATAAAAAAAACTCAGATTATTTGCAAAAAACATAGTTACGTTACATGCATATAAACAATATTTTTTTTTTCCAGAAAATCTACAAGTTGATAATATTCGAGAAATATACAATTAAAATTAAAAACATATATATATATATATATATATATATATATATATATATATATATATATATATATATATATATATATATATATATATATATATATATATATATATATATATATATATATATATATACCGGTATTACCGGATTTTGTTTAATTTCGCAAAAATAATATAATTTCAATATAAAAAATATATGTATATCTCTTTATATACATAGATTCCTTAAAAGAGGCCCAAATCTTGTCAACTATAAAGTTTGGAAAATTAATCGATTAAAACAAATTTTGTTGTTCACGTGTACACTTGTATATACTCAATAATTATTCCATTTGCTGCATGAATATTTCATAATTTTTTTCAGAACACTAAAAAACCTCGCTTTCTGTATTATGTTTTTGGATACATTACAATAATTTAAATATTTAAACCCAAGTACCATCATACGAATAAAGCATTCTTGTCACAAATTTATTAATTATAAAACCCCCTACAAATAGTAGATATCTATTTTTTTTTTTATTTATAAACAAATTTCGGCGCCAAAATTGCTTCTGCGCAATAACTGTACTACAATCATACTATCTTATTCGTAAAAACTAATTTTAAACATTACACTATTTGTCACTTTCTTTCAAATTGAGAATTTAGTGTGAAAGAAAGAGACAAAACAGTTCAACAGTTAAAAAGGCTTGTAGACGGTTTTAGTTCTTATGAATAAGGGGGTAAGATTATAACTACAATAAACAAAATTGTCACAGATCAAGAAGATTCTCAGAAAAAACACAAAATGCGCAATATATTACAAGTTTTAAACATTTACAATAATGATTTTATCACAGATCTCATTTTCTATTTTATTGTACGTCTACCATGAACAAGTACGTAATAATATTCTTCATTTAGGTATTTAATCCACAAAGACATATTTTACTGTTGTATAGAATCATATATATATATATATATATATTGTAACTCGATAATGCCTGTACATGAATATATATATATATATATATATATATAGTTAGACTAGTATACAAAATGTAGTTTTTTTTTGGTTCAGTTCTATTAATTAAATTCAAATTATTACTAATATTCTAATTTTCTTCAATTCGGTTTAAAATATAGAATATCGTTCCATATCCTTGACGAAATATTGTTTTTTTTAGTTTCCTGAACATTTGCCAGCTTTGGATTTAGCTGTCTTTGATTTTATAGGCCTCAGTTATGTGTTTCCCATTGTAATATTTCTTAACCCAAGCAATATCGAAATTGAATTCACCAACTTCAACTTTGGCGCCGAATGCTATACAAAAACTTATATTTTCACCAACGTTACAATATAAAAACTAATATAATCGTATTTTGCACTTTATTACGTAATGCGTAGGTACGAAATGCAATACAAATGTTATATCAAATCATATACTAAGTATTATATAAAGGTGCACCTTAAAAATTGTACGGTTACAGTCCTACAAACCTATTTTAACTATTACAGTATTTTGTCACTGTCTATCAGACTAAGAAATTAGGGTAAAAGACAAGGACAACACATGTCAATAGGTTAAAATAGTTTTATAAGAGATTTGATGTTTTTTTTATGAATACATATATATACAGATATAGTATGTAAAAAATTACAAAATTTTACATACATCCAAAAAAGCAAAGTATATTTTATTATTGACATATATTATGACATAAAATTGTGTCACTTTATTTACAAGACATTTTGGCAAAAATACTAAAAAAAAAATATTCCAAAAAAATACACACACCACGGAGTTTCTTCGAAAATGTCTAATGTATCAAAATTCAGTCCAATGTGGAAGGACGAAATCTGACTTTAAACAACGCTTACATAAGGCACTTATTAGCTTGGTGTACACTCGAATGCACGGTACATTAAGATGTTTTAAAAGAATTGAATAAAAAGTATAAGCAAGCGAATACTCGACCCGACCTTAAGACAGTCTGCTGATGTCCAATAGTATTAGAGATATATATATATATATATATATATATATATATATATATATATATATATATATATATATATATATATATATATATATATATATATATATATTATATATTTTTTCCGGACATTCCGCCCATACCAGTCGGATATGTTGTGACAGTACACCCAACATATGAAATTATCGATTGGCATTAGTCGATTTTTTTTTTTATAAAAACAGAACATTTTCTTTTTGACTTCTTTACATAAGTACCTATAAATTATAATATATATCAAACTATAAATATTATAGTTAGCCCCTTATTCATAAAAACTAAAACCTTGTACAATATCTTATTTTACCTATTATACTGTTTTGTCATTCTTTCGAAATGGAACTTTAGTGTAAAAGAAAGAGAGAAAACAGTTCAATATCTAAAATAGGTTTATAGGAGGTTTGATGGTTTTATGAACAAGGATGTTAGATTATATAGATAGAGTGTCTTTACAAACAGGTCAACTTTTTTTATCCATGCTGCGTGAACAGGGTTACCATAATGTACATTTATTTACCAAGTATACAGGAGAAAGTATATTGTAAGATTAAATTAAAAAATAAATACAATACACTTTTTTTGTAATAAATGCAAATGGCCGCCGTTTCAATTAACACGTGTACATTAATACACACATTTATATTATATCAGAAAAATAGTTTCCAATACCAATTTAAAAATCGCCACGAACTGGGAAAATTTTAATCACTTGCAACACTGAAAAAAAAATGCGTTCGTATTGCATTGCCACAAAAAAAAAACAATGTGTCAGCCAATTTGACATTTTGACTGACTAAACGTCATCTCCTGTAACACTTGACGCTCTACCTATACAATCAAAGATATTACAGCACATAGAATTATTTGAACTTTTTCATTTAGTATATTAATATTATAACATAATACGCACTCATCCTTTACTCGATCACAGCTCACGAAAACAATTCGCTCAGCTAAACCTAAACCGAATTATAACTAGGAATATTAACTAACAGTTTTTGAGAGATAAACGTGGCAATCGTTGACATCAAAGTAACTCAAAACGTCTTATGTACATCAACTTCATCAACTGTCAATAATATCAAATTATTGTATAAACAAATAGCTTATTTTATCTATTACTAGTTTCTACCCGCGACTTCGTCCACGTGACTGGGATATATTTATTAACCGGGATATAAATTAGCCTATATCCCATATAGAGTACGTTTACACCAAATTTGATGCAATTTTCACAGTTGCATCCCTAAAGTTCTAATTTAGAAACTGGCGTGTTTTATCTTGACACGCCATCTAGAAGCGATCTGTCATTGGTCAACCTACTTCTAAAATGCACGCTTGCGAAGTAGTGGACAAATAGCTATTTATTTATTTATTTCTTATTGCATTCCATAATGTGATTAGTAGATAACATTTCAACTTCAATTGTGGACCCTTTTGGTCCATATATTGTTATATAAATATAATTTAATATAAGACATGTTAGAGGTCCTGTCGACGATTGACACATACACTCGAAAACTTATAAATAATTCGTATTATATAAAAAATAAATCCTCGCCCACTTTCCCCGCTGACATATTTACAAAATACATTATGTATTGCAATATATAAATATATATCATTTGGCAATATGTTCTCTTTTCTGTCGGTGGGTCGCGTGTGTAAAGTATTTAAATGTCCCACTGGTGGGCAAAATGCAGACTGATATGACGTAACCATATCGCATTAAATGCATTTAAAAAATACACAAAGGCCATCTCTTCCGTCCACCCGCCCCTCCGCGTTAATCCACTGATATAAACAATTTCAATATCTCAAAGGTGATAAACGGTCACTGTAGCCTATGGACACCTGCAACACTAGGGGTGTCACGTACGCGTTGCCGACCCTGAAGAAACTTTAATATACCTTTTTTGAAGTGTCAAATGAAAGAGCTCATAATGGCGGTATAAATGACAACATTTCAAAATGGCTGCCACCACAAGATGGCGGATTACATTATAAAAGCATGTTGTTAAAAATGTTTTTAAACAAACCTGTTGATTTTTATTTTCACTTAATAAAATTTTTGGTAACGTCGGTCTAACTCGAGTCTGTAGATTGCAATGGACCAGTGAGACATTATTGTAAATGCTATAAATCGGTATTTAGATCGCAATATGTAACTAAAATAACGTTTAAGAAAAAATATATATATAAAACATCAAAAACATTGTAATGGCAAACGCAGTGAAGGGCAACCCCCCCACTAGATGGCGTGACGACCTGATGATGATGATGATCAAAAACAAATTAAATATACCAGTATATTTTAAACGACTGAATTATTATCTTAGAAGCTTGTTCTAAAATTACTACTATATTTGAAGCACTTTCGAATCGAAGCATACGGCCCGCCTGATGGTATGCGCCCACCGCGGCCTATGAACGCTCGCAACACCAGAGTCATCACTCGCTCGTCTACCATTTTAATGTGAAGATCTCAAATCACAGTACTGAAGCAACTTGACGGTCATATCTCATTAAATGTACAGAGACAATTAAGAATAATTACCAACTTTTTAATAAGCTAGTGGTTGTGGAAAGCTGAATATTTATATATTATATAAATATATATAAAACTACATAAAATCATAGCTTCCCATACTAACTTGACAGCTGGACGCGTGGTGTCACTACACAGCAGTGTTTTTCAATTCTTTTTCAAGGCGCAACCCCGTTAGTATGTAAAAATATTTTATATTGGGGGGAAGGGATTATTAGTAATACGGACTACCAGTCCTATTGCTAACAATATACCCTAGCAGGTCGACCTCCACTTGGTCCCCCCTGGAAACCATCGTGCTGAATTCCAATGGGCTAATTGACCTGGTTTTTAATTCTTTTTTATACTCATAATTAGGTATCAATTAAATAAATAAATAAAAAATACATGAAACATCTAAAACAGACAGGATTTTTTTTGTAAAATTGATTTTTTCAGTTTTGCGACATTCCGCAACTCCCTTGTAGTCGATTAGGGACCCCCAGGGGGGTCACGACTCACACTGAAAACCACTGCTATAAAGTACCAAAAATTGTTTTTAATCCTAATTTCACCCTGTGATTTGTTATCTATGTTATTTTTCAATTGTTTAAGGCACTGATATTTTTTAATAATAATAATAATAAACTCTTTATTGCGCACAATAGAGATGTATACAAGGAGTATTTATACAGAATGTGCATATACAAAAGGCGGCTTTATCGCTACAAGCAATCTCTCACAGACAACCTGGACTTTTCTGTGATGAACGACCGAAATACCGACAGAATGATACCGCGAAATGCATTAAGGCAAATTATAAAAATAAATAATTTTTTTTTTTTATTGGCACTACTGAACACTAGCCATCCGGATCAGTCACTAAATACATGGAACGGCTCATTGTATGTACTCACTACATATTTTCCTATTAGTATTCTAGTAAACGTCGAGTATTGGATATGTGTTGCCCGCTATAAAAAATTAATAATTTGTAATGTAAAATAATTTTGACATTTTTTTTTTACAATTTAAAGCCGCTATATTTATTGTTTATTCTTATCATGCACCTGATATGCTGAGTCTGATCTAGGGACTGTACCGGGCAATTGCCCGGTGCGGCAATATTAAGGTAACTAAAAAGTGTGAACGACAAAAATTGCCCTCATATCACACTTTATGTGTAAAAAGAGTGCATTTGTTCACCATCGTCGATTTAGTACGTACATAAGGTGTTATCGCTTCACACCACATTTGCTTGTACAAAGTCACCACTCCAATACTCGCATACTAGAATACTAATAGCTTTTATTAATCTACCATCCTATTGTTAGCGAAAAACAACACGAATTAATTATAATATTTTTGCCCCATACAGTACTATTATATGTTTGAAAAAAAATTGTAATATCATTTCTAAAGGTCTATATTTTTTAATTATTCCTTCATCAAAGATATGCACGTAAGCCCAAATTTACATAGAAAATTACTTAATAGCTTAAAACTTAATAAATCCAAACAAAACACGAAGCTGTTTCGTAGGAGTAATAAACTCACTTTGAAATTAAAAAAATTATATGTAATGTTTAAATTTGAGAAATTTGTTATATATAATTTATATGATAATTTCATAATGTAAATAAGGTATACATATATATATATATATATTATTTCACAGCACTTTATTATTCAAATAAAAATAAATTGTATAAATGTTTAAAACAAAACAAGGCCCGATACAATATTGTTGAATATATATTGTGTAGCATAGGAGGCACAGTATTATTTCAGTCAAGAACAACGGACAAGAAACAATAAGGGCGTTAATTCCTGTCTCTTAAAAAACGTAAAATATGAAACGCGAAAGTGTGAAAATTAATAACATAATATTATGCCCAATAATAGACCATTTGCCTCCCATTTACTAACTAAAATAAATATACACAATCAATTAAATCGGTAGCCACGCTTTCGATAACTGCTTAGAATGGCGAACAAGCTGACGGCCCACCTTATGGAAAGTGTTAACCGTCGCCTATACGAACGAACAGTACCATGGACATAACAGAGTATACTGTGTCGCCCGTGATACTATTCATATGTTGCCATACCTGAGGCCTTATGTGTTATGCCTCTGGACCCTGTAATTTCTCTGCCATATCTCAACCCCCAAACCGTGCACATAGTCATGCAAACACAGCTGCTTCACAGCTGTAACACATGGGACAGATGGTACTCAAGCAAACGACACTTAAAATTCCGCGCAGTTTTTCGCCAACAACGGTTTAACTGTACAAATTAACCTCTAAATAAACTATAACTACAAGATACCAGTCCACTAGTGGCGTTCACTCCCTTGGGTAGTCCACACGTGAAGTTTCTAGCTGCGGTCAATGCCTGCGCCGTGATATTACAGTTCAATGTAACGTTCTTAGCCACAGCAGACACTTGGGACACGTCGGCGTTTTCCAACGGGGAGAAGATATAGCTACCCCACGTCGGGTACGCCCCCCACACGATCAGGGTCGTGATGATTTTGGGCCCGATGCCGCCGATGGCCTGAAATTAAAAGAAAAATTTAATGTAACCTAATTTATCTTACTTATATTATGGGCACGAACCTAATAAAAACCTATGGGGGAGAAAGGGATTGTTAGTAATGCATACTACCGATCCCGTTACTAACAATATACTCTGTCAGGACGACCTCCACGTGGTCCCCCTTGGAAACCATTGTGCTGAATTACAGATGTATCCATCATGATGGGCTAATTGACCTGCTTTCACATTCTCACCTATCATCTCCTACTGGTGTCCCGCCAGCGTATACCGTAAGCGCAGGCAGGGTTACCATTCCCTTATCACCCATTAAAAAAAAAAACAAAAACCTATACACACAAAAATTTTACAAAAACTGTTCTTTTACATTTTATATTTTATTTTATTCACTTATACACATAGGTCTCCTCCGTAGTCTACCATAAAGGACGATCCAAACCCATCTGCATCCACTGACTCTCTGCAATATATTTCTCTCTGCACTCCATTAGTGGGGGGTTTGTCCTACACTGCATTTTCCCGTATAGGGTCGCCTATCAAGAATCTTTCTTCCCCATCGATTGTCGGTTCTTCGAGCTATGTGACCAGCCCATTGCCACTTCAGCTTAGTTATCCTTTGGGCTATGTCGAGGGAGATAGAGGGAGACTTTGTACAAAAGTCGATTGCTTGGGTACCTCTGTCCCATTCGTGTTTCTACCGTGAAGCAGTTGTGTTTGCATGGCTGTGTTTCGGTTTAAAGGGTAGGATATGGCGTGAATTTACAGGGTATAGAGTAATAACCCGAGTCCTCAGGAATGGCAACACATGGGGTGTATCATGGACGAAACAGTATACTCTGTTATGTCCATGGTACTCATGCTCATGTCTATAGGCGACGGTTACCGCTTTCCATCAGGTGGGCCGTTAGCTTGTTTGCCATTCTAAGTTGTATAAAAAAAACTTTGCTTTTTTTTGCAGACATCGTCGTTTCAGATTCTATCACGCAAAGAATCTCCGAGAATAGCTCTCTCCATAACCCAGTCAGTAATTTAAATTTTATCAATTTGCCATTTTAAGTATCATAAACAAAATATATCGAAAAACATAATAAAAAAAATGATAGTTACCATCTTAGCGGTGGGTATGTGGGCGACGCCTGCGACGATGGCGTTGGGTGGGGTGCCGACCGGCATGTGGAAGGCCATAGAACACGCCAATGTCGCCGGCACCATCAGGTAGCGCGGGTCCATGCCCAGGGACCGCGACTGATGAACACAGACAGACACACGCATCAGCATTTTGCCATATAATTAAAAAAAAAGAAGTAAATATGACTATTGGAATATAAAGGGGTAAAACATATCAAGTTACAATTATCTATAGTTGTTTTCATTTACGACTACCCCCTAATTTCTAAGTTATCTATAGTAAATTTCACATTTTTTGAAGATTTTATCCCCTTCCTTTCCCCCATGTAATGCGCCATAAAATTTTCTCACCCCCTCCCCTTCCTAACCATTAGGTAACATCCAAGTGACCGTTTTTACCTAAAAGTTACAACACTAACGAATACTGACAACGAAAACAGAATAAAAATGATGTACAACACAGTTGAGGGATTCCCCGTGAAACATAAACAAAAGGGTTGCCAACTTTGGTTCCCTTGGTTTTTATTTAAATAAAAAAGCAATAAACATAACGCGTTTAGTCCTTTCTCCCCCCCCCCTCGATACCTAAAACTACATAGATAGATAAATAGATACTCTTTATTGTTTCCTCCATAAGATTACAACAGTAAACTTATTATAGATACAAACAATTACAAGAAAATATTACACTGAGAAAACAATGGGCAATAAGGCTTATCACTAAGAGCGATCTCTTGCAGGCAACCTTTGGATGGAGAGGAGTAATTACGTAATACTTGAAAGCCCTCTAATATTAGCGGGTAAGAGGTAGAGATAGAACCATATGACTCAAGATCATCTCAAGATTCTACCCTTTATAGATAGATAGATAGATACTCTTTATTGTTTCCTCCAAAAGATTACAATAGTAAACTTATTATAAATATAAATAATTACAAGAAATAATCATAATGAGAAAACAATGGGCGACTTTAATATAGTAGGATAAATTGTTGGAAATGTAATTTAGCCTTTGTCTAAGAATTTTGTGTTGTCAATGTCAGAGAGGGAAATGTGTATCTGTAAAAAGAAGTGACTGTTGTTATTACTTACTCTGTGAACTATTACAAAAATAGATAAATGTCTGTATTAAGATTGCTGTGGTGTTCCTTGTAAAAAAAATATATCTTTTAAAACAATGAAGATTCGTTTAATTAATATTGTTGATAAAAAAAACTTTATAAAGCATTTGGACTATATAGGCACATATATTTTCATCAATATTTTTTTCATTTTTGAATTTTTGATGCACGAATTATCTGTCCTACTCTATCACCAAACATTAGCTGAATAAACGGTATGGTTACCATATTGGCGAGGACGGGCAGTATGAGGTTGGCGATGGCGACATTGGAGGTGAACTCGGTGATGAGCTGCGTGACGAGCACCACGACGAGGAGCACCAGCGCGGGTGGCAGCCCGTGGAGGCTCACCAGCGAGCCGCCGATCATCGACGACAGCCCGGTCGCCTTGCTGCCCTCAGCAAGCGCGAAACCACCACCTGCATCATATAAGACCGTATAATAAAGGGGGGAAGGGATTGTTACTAATGCCACCTACCAGTCCAATTGCTAGCAATATACCCTGTCAGGTTGACCTCCACATATTTCAAACTGGAAACCATTGTGTTTAATTCCATGTGGGCAATTATCACAGTGGGCTAACTGACCTGCTTTTTCATTCTCACTTGTCACCTCTCACTGGTACCCCGCCAGCGTATACCGTTGGCGCAGGCGGGGTTACCATGTTATTATCTTCCAAAAAAAACATAATTGCACCCTCACCCTGATTGTATTTTCTCTTATCCATGATACTATTAATTTTAAACAATAGTGACCAGTTTCCATCTGTTGGGCATTAATTTGATATTTCAAATTGCATAAAAAAAAACTTCCAAAGAACCTCGACTATAATAAAATGGATCATTATTCCAGACAATATCCATCCACTGCTGAACATAGGCCTCCCCCATAGACTGACATATGGAGCGGTCCTGACTCCCTGCAATGCTTTTAAGGTCATCACTCCATCTAGCAGGGGATCGTCCTACACTGTGTTTGTCCATACGGGCTCGCCACTCAAAAGCCTATCTTCCCCATCGAGCCACCTGCATCTAGTGACTCCCTGCAATGCATTTGAGGTCGTCAATCCATCTAGTAGAGGGTCCTACACTGTGTTTGCCCATATGGGGTCACCACACAAGAACCTTTCTTCCCTATCGGTTGTCGGTTCTTCAAACTATGTGACCAGCCCATTGCCACTTTAGCTTGCTTATATTAATATAATGATAAAAAGATTTTATACAAACCAAGCAAGAAAAGCAGTCCCCATGGCACCTTATCCTTAAGGATCGCCCAGGTCACGATGCCGGGAGACGGTTTCGAAGCCGCGAGCTCTTCGTCTGTAATAAATAAATGCTATTATAGATTGCAAGTTACCTACATAGATAGGCCACCGGTTCCTTTCCCGTAGGTGTCGTAAGAGCCAACTAAGGCAACTTAAAAGCCTAACTGCGATTGCCAATCCGCCTGCCAAGCGTGGCGAAACCCTCAAAGGGGTGGTTTATATTTAGCAGTGGACAGTTAAAGATTGATATGGCGATGAAAATGATTGATTACAAGATTGTCATCATTGTGTCCTCATTTATGGGTATTGATGGAACGGTAACCCCGCCTGCGCTAACGGGATACGTTGGTGGTGTACCAGTGAAGGATGATGGTGAGGATGAAGTAGGTCAGATAGCCCATCGTGACGAATTCAACAAGAATTGTTCACGATGGTTTCCAGGGGAAACCACGTGGAGGCCGACCTAATAGGGCATATTGCTAGCAATGGGATTGTCAACCTCCATTGCTAACAATCCCTTCCCCCCACTATTGTGTACTATTCCTAATGAATTTATCACGATAGGCTAACTGACCTACCTTTTCATTTTCACCTCTCATCCCTCACTGGTGCCTTGCCAGCGTATACCGTCAGCGCAGGCGAGGTTGCCATTCCATTATCATCCATAACAAAAAAATCTCCAAGATGGTCGTTAGGATGCATACGAACTAGCCTCGGTGAACAGACATACGGTGATCAGAAACAATACTCACAGGATGATGACGACGAGAAGAACTTGATGAAGTCCACCGACATGGGTATGATGAACATAAGCACCACAATGAACATGGAAGTGACGCCGTCCTTCACTTTCCTGAAATTACAAATGTACAATAACATTAGTGCAACTTGTTTTGATACCGATATATATTTTAACAGATTTTGAGTGATACATGCCGAATAATTATTTTGGATTTTTCAAAAATTAATTTATAAATTATTTCCTGTCATTCATGACATTCGAAATGTGGTCATGGAGGAGAATGGAAAGGATAAGCTGGACAGAAAAACTAACGATTGAAGAAGTTCTGAAAAGGGTGAACGAGAAACGAACATTAATTAAATAGAGAATATGGTAAAAGAGAGGCAGAAAGCTGGGCCACCTTATACGACATGACGATTTTTTAAGAGCATAGTAGAAGGAAAAATAGAGGGCAAAAGAGGAAGAGGAAGACCGAGAAATAACTACATGGGACTGATAAAAGAAATACTAGGTGTCAGGTCGTGTGGGGAGGTCAAGGATATAGCCTGGGATAGTACTGGCTGAAAGAAGATGCATGAATTAGTTGCACCGACAAGAGAAAACTCTCAAATGAAAAGAAGCCATTTTATATTATAACATTTTGTAGGTAGATTTATAGGTTTTTTTATAGCCATTAACAATTTTAAACATCTCTGTACATTGTTTTAGATTGTGTAAGTAGCTTTTTAGCCAATCATGCGCATTTCCTCTTATTCCGTATTTATATAATTTATTTAATGCTATATTATGATTTAAACAGTCAAAAGCTTTAGTCATATCCAAAAATATTGCAGCTACATGCTCTTTATTATTCAATCTCTCAGTTACCGATTTTATTGAATCGAAACAAGCCAAAGATGTTGAGCTGTTTTTCTTAAATCCATATTGTTCTTGTTTTAAGATATTATTTTTAGTCATAAAGTCATTTAGCCTTTTGTTTACTTACAAGTTGGTCATGACATCGGCCCATCCAGGAATGAAGCCGGGCTTCCTGAAGATGTACAGGAATACGGCCAGGAGGAATAGCAGGCCTGACGACTGGAAATAATGCACAAATACAGATTATCAGACTATATCTCGATACTAACTTTAAACCGCGACTTCATCCACGTTACCGGGAATATGTTCAATGACGGAGATAAAAAAAAAAATTCTTATTGTTAAAAGTTTCGTAAGCACACATTATATTTTAATGTAATAGTGAGTGTAAATATGTGTAGTTTAAGTTACACTGGTAGTTATTACATTAAAATAGAATCGAGAAAGCTCGCATCATAGTTGCTTATGACTAAGGACCACGAATTGATCCCGAAACTAATCAAGCTTTCTCAATCTAATTACACGTAAGTTAAAGGGTATTTAATCAATCATTCATTCATAATAAAGCTACCTTTTCATGGAATGTAGTGGGCCCCAGGTTCCTGTATTGCTCCGTGATCACTTTCATGGTGGTCTGTGAGCCTGATGATGCCATGTTCACCTGCTTCGCCGCTTCGCTGTTTGGCCTGTAAATTATTTTATATACAAACTAATTATTTACCCAATAAATAGTAATCTGGGAAACTCCATGATATAGATCACTACTAGATGGCGTATCAAGATTAAACGTATATCAAATTTTAAGTTATACCTTCAGGAACACAATTGTGAAAACCGCATTCAATTTGGTATAGTTTTTTTATTTTAGTTGATAATAATGGAATGGCAACCCCACCCGCGCTATCGGTATACACCGGCGGGGCACCAGTGAAGGATGATAGGTGAGGATGAAGCAGGTCAGTTAGCCCATCGTGACAAATTCAACAAGAATTGTTCATGATAGTTTTCAGGGGGAACCACGTGCAGGTCGACCTAATATATTGCTATAGGGCATATTGCTAGCAATGGGACTGGTCAAGCTCCATTGCCAACAATCCCTTTCCCCCCAATTTGGTATAGTAGTTTTTGCATGATATCGAAACAAACATACAGAAGAGCAAAATTTTGAAAAATTATTATTTTAGCTTCTATATAGGCTTCATTAAGACCCCTAAAATACCTTTTTTTTCTTATATATCTCCGATGTACAGAGTCGTTATGGAATACGACACACGTCCGCTCTGAACCGTAAATACGATTATATGGTATGTTCAATTGTTTTTTTTTTTTTAATGAGTAGATCCAGTTTAGTTGTTTAGGTATTAGAAATGTTATTTAAATTACTATTTTAAGATAATATAATATTTGTTTTCACTTACCTCTGGAGTAATTGTATTTTTATTTTAATAGGTGATAATGGAATGGTAAACCCGTACGCGCTATTGGTATACGCTGGCGGTGCACCAGTAAGTAGCGATAGGTGAAGATGAAACTAGGTTTTTTTTTATGAGTGAAAATGGTATGGTAACCCCGCCTGCGCTAACGGGATACGCTGGCGGAGCACCAGTGAAGGGTGATAGATGAGAATAAAAACAGGCCAGTTAGCCCATCATGATGAATTCATCAGAAATTAACCATGATAGTTTCCAGGGAGAACCGAGCGAGGAGGTCGACCTGGTTGGGTATATTGCTAGCAATAGGATTCTCAGTCTCCATTACTGACAATCCCTTTCCCCCCGATGAAACTAGGTTAGTTAGCCCATTGTGATGGATTAAACAAGAATTAATCTCGATGAATTCCAGAGGAACCGTACGGAGGTCGAGCTGACAGGGTATACTGCTAGAAATGGGGATTAATGTCTCCATCAAGCTCTCTCTTCCCGGGTATATTAGCCTGCGGAGAAAGAGATTGTAAGTAATAGGATCTAATAGCCCCATTGCTAGCAATACACCACACTCGACCTCCACGCGGTTCTCCATGGAAACCATAGTGAGTAATTCTTGTTTAATTAGTGACTTTGGGCCAAATGGCCTGCCTTCATCCTCACCTGTCACCCTTCACTGACACCCCGCCAGCGTATACCGATAATAAAGGCGGAGCTTCTATCTTCAGCCATAAAAAAAATATAGCTACTAGTTTTAGTTACATATAGTCCCTTCCCTCCAGAGGGAGACTTTGTACAAAAGTCGATTGCTTGGCCACCTCTGTCCTATTCGTGTTTCAACCGTAAAGCAGTTGTGTTTGCATGGCTGTGTTTCGGTTTGAAGGGTGAGATATGGCGTGAATTTACTGGGTACGGAGGAATAACACCTGAGTCCTCAGGAATGGCAACGCATGGGGGTATCATGGGCGAAACAGTATACTCTGTTATGTCCATGGTACTGAGTGCTCATGTTTATAGACGACGGTTACCACTTTCCATCAGGTGGGCCGTCAGCTTGTTTGCAGTCGTATAAAAAAAAACCTTGTCTCAAATACGTAAATTTTGGCATCGGCATACATATTACATGTTGTCATCCATATTGCTCAGGGTTTTGACTTTTAATTCTACCACCAGCCGCCTGCCTGTCTTCCTTCCCTCTTGTACCAATAAAATCACAGATGTACTAACCGGAACATGCCCATGAACGTGACCTGGAGCGCGAGCCAGACCAGCAACTGCATGAGCAGCATGGGCGGCATGCTGTACACCATGAACCAGAAGAAGTTCACAGAGCCGGAATACTGAGGGAACTCGCTGGAATGTTAACAAACAATCAACTTCATATGTGTGAATGGATACTGTGAAAGGGACTCCATTTTCCGCACTTAGCCTCTCATTTGGGCCATTGTGCGTGAATGGATACTTACCAGTGATGGACTGAGCATGCCAGGGGCCTGGGGCGGTAAAGCTGAAGCTGAGGACTCCCAATTTAGGAAGTTAATGTAATTTTACAGGCTTTTATTCAGTTCAATTTTGTATGTATAAGCGTTTATGTTTATTTATAATAGTAAATATCTTGCAAGTAAAATTTTGCTTCCCGGCATAGAATTGGCCACCCCTTTCTTTCCTGTGGGTGTAAGAGTCGACTAAGGGAACTTAATCGAGAGATGAGCAGCCCTCCCCCCATTTATAGGGGAGGCCTATGTTAAGCAGTGAACAGTTAACGGCTGATAGATACATACATACATACAAGTGGAATTTCAATTAGACTTAAATATACATAGAATATGGATGTGGATGAAAAAAAATTAAGGTGTTTAAAGTCTATCTGGACCAAAGGCCCACAGCGAAGTTATACCACAAAGGTGGCAAACAAGCATACAGCCCGTCTGATAGTAAACAGTCACTAAGGTATGTGGACGTCTGCAATATTATGGGTGTCACGTGCACGTTGCCGACTCTGAAGAAATCTTAATATACCTTTTTTGAAGAACCCCATACTGTATGTACTACTGTACAACTTACGCGTTTTTTTTTTATTTAAATCCCAGTTATATATAGCCATCTCTATTTGTGAACTAACCAATCAATACAGATTGCAACGACGAGCTATGAGAATTGTCGATGATCCCAGGCTCACAGGCGGTATCGAACCCTTAAATCTTAGGAAAGATTTTGCCTCACTCTGCGTGTTCTACCGCCTGTACAATGGATTGTGCTCAGAGGAATTGTTCAATATGATGCCCACAGCCACTTTCTACCATTGTACGGCTCGCCGTCGACAGGGAGTTCATCCTCATGTCCTACAGCCTCAATGGTCGCGTACTGCGCGGTTGTAGAGATGTTTCCTCCCACGAACACTCAGGTTGTGGAATGAGCTCCCTGCCGAGATTCTCCCAAGAGACTACAACATGGGGTTCTTCAAAAGAGGGGTAAAGAGGTTTCTTCAGGGTCGGCAACGCACGCGTAATACCTCTGGTATTGCAGGTGTTCATAGGCTACGGTAACCACTTACCATCAGGTGGGCCGTATGCTTGTTTGCCACCTCAGTGGTATAAAAAAAAAAGATTGTCTGTCATTATTTAAAAATATATATATAAAAAAATTATACTCACGAATCAAATATCCCTTTGAAGGCGGAGTTGGTAGCAGTGCCGACGAGAGTGCCGCAGCCGCCCAGCGTGGACGCGTACGCGATGCTCAGGAAGTAGCAGATCGTTATGTTACTCGGTATCGGGGCCCTGCCATCAATCAGCAATAGAATCATCATGCCAACTCAACCCTATCGGCATACACTGGCGAGGCACCAGTGAGGGATGACAGGTGAGAATGAAAAGACAGGACAGTTAAGCCCATCGTGATGAATTCACTTGGAATAGGTCACGATGGTTTCCAGGGGGAACCACGTGAAAGTCGACGTGACAGAGTATATTGGTAGTAACGGGGCTATTTTACCCCATTACTAACAATCCCTTTCGCCCTCCTCATTACGGTAGTTGAAAGTACATAAAATGGAAAAAGAGGAAACATTTATAGAAAACTATCAGACTCGGCAAACGTTGTTTTACCATATACATTATTTCTAGAACTATACATGAAAATATATCGTACTACAATTATTATATTCGATTGTCATCTTGCAACCCTATTGCGGAATATAAAAAACGCAATTAAAAAAAAGGGGTTGATCGTTACAGAGTGAAAATATGAATTTGTATATATTTTTCAATATTAAATCATAATAAAATAAAGACATGACTGACATGACTGCAGATGACTTTTGTACAAAGTCTTCCTCTGCTGAGGTGGAGTTTGGAGGGAAAACATTTTGTGGAAAACATTAAGCTAAAACTCTTACCAATTAAGTAACCACTCCATTAGACAGTGGAAATATTTTTTTATACATTTGAAACCATATTGGTTCTAGGTGTACCCCAAGGCTCGATTCTGAGCCCTATTTTATATTCATAATTCTGACAAGAACTATTTTATAATAGTATAGAAAAATAAGTAGATAGATACATATAAAATTTATTTGTTACGCAAAACAGCCCAAATGAGAGGCTAAGCACAGAAATAAAGAGTTCAATTTACATTACATTAATTTATTTGCATCACTTACGTGCTGTACAAATAACACTAGATATTGGTACATACTTAAAAAAAAATACTCACTCCTCTTCACCTTTCACTGCTTTGACATCTTTCCCGTTCTCTGGTGTGGCGTTCTTCTTTCTATTAATGTATACATCACCAAGTCCTTGCTGTAAACAATAGTATCAAACAATTAGATTGCATGATCCAGATAAGCCTAAACAAAATGTTTTAAAACAAAATATATACTTCTAAGCTTTTAACATACTGTTATAAAAACATTGAATTAATGTAGTATTATTATTATCTTGGAAATAAAACTTAAATTAATTCGGTTTTTATTTTTTAATTTATTTATGTCTCAGAGCCCAGAGTACTTATAATGTTCACACCAACAGAATGTCATTGCAAAAAGTATCAAAATAAAGTACTACAATAAAGTTTAAATTACAATGATCGTAGTACTCTAGATTAAATATAATTATATGAATTAATTATATAATCGAAAGATTAGTTGGAAGAGATCGCTTTTAGCGATAAGGCCGCCCATTGTTGTCTAAGTGTGAACATTTCTTGTAATTGTTTGTATTTATAATAAGTTTACTATTGTAATCTTTTGAAGGAAACAATAAAGAGTAACTATCTATCTATCTATATTTAAGAATCCGAATACAGTCATTGTAATTTCAACTTTAACGACATGATATTACAGTTGTAATGTGTCATGATGACATGTTAAGTCGTCTTAGATATCTCCTGTTATGGTATCATCGAGATAAATAAATAAATAATAGTTTATTCAGCAAACATTGTTGCAATTATAAAAAAGGTTCATACAGATACAGTGTTTGCCAGTCTATGTTGTATAAAAAAAAATTTAACATGTGTACATAACTTAATTTTTTTTTTCTTTTATTATATTTTATAATTAATATTTACTAGGATAAATTATGTCTAACCTGTTCAAGTACTTCTAGTATAGCCTCCACGATGGGCACCATCATGGTGGTAGCTGCAGCGTTGGACACCCACATTGATATGAACATGGTAACGAATGTTAGGCCGAAATTCAGTCTGGAAATAAAAAAAATAATAATGTTTTTATATCTATAGATATATAGCTTGAAATCAAATTCATTAGCATCGTCTTAGGAGCGTTCATAAACAAAGTATGGCAATGTCGCATTTATCTGTCAATTTACATAAACTTTACTGATGTCATTGAAATTTTGTATATGTACATATTGCCCATGTTCCAACTTAAGAGATAGAATTATCCCGATAAGAAAGAATAAATCCGATAGATGGCGGGAGCGAGTAAAACGTTTAGAGGACATTCAAGTTACGTATTACGTATACGTTAGTATTAAGTAATGCAATTTATGAAAGATTGTTGACCCTTATATAACGCACTATAAGATTTTTCTGTAGCCCCTCCTTCACTGTAAACGTTACGTAACACTCAAGTGACCGTTTTTACCTAAAAGTCACAACACTAACGAATACTGGCAACTAAAACAAAATAAAAATGACGTACAATACAGTTGAGGACCCCGTAATACATAAACGAAAAGGTTTGCCAACTTGGGAGATTGGGGATTACCACTCCCATTTCTAACAAAATACCCTAACAGTTCGACCTCCCCGTGGTCCCCCCTGGCAACCATTGTGCTCAATTCCAAGTGTATTCATCACGATGGGCAAACCGACTAGCCTTTTCATTTACACGTATCATCTCTCACTGGTGCCCCGCCAGTATATACTATTAGCGCAGGCGGGGTTACCATTCTACTATTTTTTATTGAAATAAAAAAAAAATGTTACGTAACGCATTGTTCAAACCCCTTTCCTGCCTCATAAACGCATCGTAACATTGTACAAGCCCCCTAGCAACCCCCCCGCGCCCCCAACTTTCATTAAGTAGTACTTTTACGCTCTTTTACTGAATTATAGGTAGAACAATATTTACCAGGATAGTAAGAATCGTTAGTACACTCACAAATATTAAAATGTCAAAACACTAATAAAACTATAAACATATTTTACAATTTGTTTGTGCAACGGAACATACTTCAATCTACATAGTAATCTTTGTTTTAACAATACGAAGATAAATAATCTAAATAAAACATTCACACAACTGTCATTTATTTCTTCACTAGCTTTTACCCGCGTCATCGTCTGCATGACCAGCTAATGGTGATTGACCGAGACAAATTTATTTTTTTAATGGATGACAATGAAATGGTAACCCTACCTGCGCTAAATGCATACGCTTTTGGGGAAAGGGATTGTTAGTAATAGGGTCTAACATTCCCATTGCGGGAGGATAATGGATTGTTAAAAATGGGGATTAGTAGTCAGGTCGACCTCCTCGCGGTTCCCCCTGGAAACTATCGTGTTCTATTCCAAGTGAATCCATTACGATAGGCTAACTGACCTGCCTTTTCATTGTCACCTATCGTCCCTCACTGGTGCCATCTAGAGTATATCGTTAACGCAGGCGGGGTTACCATTCCATTATCATCCATTAAAAAAAAACAATCCCATTGCTAGCAATATACCCTATTAGGTCGACCTCCACGCGGTTCCCCCTGGAAACCACTGTGGTTTAATTCTTCTGTAATTTGTCACGATGGGCCAACTTACCTGACTTTATCCTCACCTATCATCTCTCACTAGTGCCTCGCCTGTGTACACCGATAGCACGGGCGGGGAAACCATTCCATTTTCACCCATTAAAAAAAAATTATAAAACTCTTTTATAATCTGTATGATTTGTACTATACGAAGTAAGGGTCCTGGTGACTTGTAATACAGGTTTAACACCTAATACAGTCATCAGTTCCCACAAATAATATTGTTACCACAGGGAGACTTTGTACAAAAGTCGATTGCTTGGATACCTCTATCCCATTCGTGTTTCAACCGTGAAACAGTTGTATTTGCATGGCTGTGTTTCAGTTTGAAGGGTGGGATATGGCGTGAATTAACAGGGTACAGAGGAATAACACCTGAGTCCTCAGGAATAGCAACGCATGGGGGGTATCATGGGCGAAACAGTATACTCTGTTATGTCCATGGTACTGCTCATATCTATAGGCGACGGTTACCACTTTCCATCAGGTGGGCCGTCAGTTTGTTTGCCATTCTAAGTTGTATAAAAAAAAAGAGTTTAAATGTTCTGCAAGTTATAGGTAGTAAGTCCTTAATTGTTTTAATATTTAATCCTTAATTGGCTACCACTTTTCATCGGGTGGGTCGTCAGCTTGTTTTCCATTCTAATTTGAGAAAAAAAAATTAAAAAAAAAGGTTCCATGCACCACCAAGTGCGGTAAAGTTACAACTTTAACACAATTAAAAGATGCCCACTGACCTTCTATGAGAACAGCCAACCACCTGCACAGTCCAGAGGGCGACTCTCTTCGGCAATTTGGAATGCTGCACACCAGCAGCAATCATCAGACCACCCATGAACATCATGTTGGTCTCCTTCATGTAGGAAGCGCAGGTCTTGTCCGAGTCTAGGATGCCCATCGTTGGGAACAGGACGATTGGTAACATTGAGGTGACGGGCAGCGGCAGCAGTTCCAGCACCCAGTATGTCGCCATAATCAGCACCACGTACATACACCTGTATTGCTGGAAATTGATAATAATAATTGCTAGATAATTCTAGAATAATTTCTGTGACATTGTATAGTAGTATAAACAAAATATAAACACTTCGATGACATTTCTTTCATCATAATTGGCCTACTAGAATATTTTAGAACTTTGTACAAAAGTCGATTGCTTGGGTACCTCTGTCCCATTCGTGTTTCAACCGTGAAGCAGTTGTGTTATTATTATTATATGTTCAGCAGTGGACAGTTAACAGCTGTGGTGGAGTGGGCAGCATACGTTACTGAAAAGAAAGGCGTTTACTAACAGAGACTTAAACGTAACTTAACTGAGACAAAACTGTTAGCAATATATTCCACTATATATTATACCAGAGGGAGACTTTGTACAAAAGTCGTTTGTTTGGGTACCTGTGTCCCATTCGTGTTTCTACCGTGAAGCAGTTGTGTTTGCATGGCTATGTTTCGGTTTGAAGGGTGGGATATGGCGTGAATTTACTGGGTACAGAGGAATAACACCTGAGTCCTCAGGTATGGCAACGCATGGGGGGTATCATGGGCGAAACAGTATACTCTGTTATGTCCATGCTACTGCTCATGTCTATAGGCGACGGTTACCACTTTCCATCAGGTGGGCCGTCAGCTTGTTTGCTATTCTAAGTTGTATAAATAAAAAACTTATGATAAACTTATAACAAATAAAAAATTACCGTTCCATGATTCAGTATAGGTATAGGCAACAGTACTATTGGCGTGAACACAACCAGCAGACTCTTCCAGTATATAGAAAAGAAAAGGCTCGCCCGTTGCCATAGCGACGCGCTCGACCTACTTCTGGAAAAAAAATAAGTCGTCCCGCTGGAAAAGAGAACAAACACACATATTATAAGACCTGTTGATGACCCGGCGTGCTGTTAATTGACTGTAAACAGAAGTAAGCGGCAAAACAGAAGTAAGAGACAACAAACAGTCACAGGAAAGAGGTATGGTGGAACTCTACTTTTACTTGTGTAACAGTGGTGCCCTCTAGTTTTAAAACATTCAGTATATATTGTTAAAAGTTTGGTAAGAACATTTTATATTTTAATATAATATAATTACCAGTTTGACTTAGGTGCATTTAGATCGAAAAAGCTCGGCATGTTTCGACATCAATTCGCTCGTGCTCGCGTCACAGCCGCTTGATGTCGAAACATGTCGAGATATAATACCTCTTTCCTGCTTGCTATACATACTTTACAATAAATTTTTCTAACAGATTTGACACCAATATTTATAATAAATAAGAATTTGTATATACATAAATATAGTTAATATATCTACATCAGTGATTCTCAACCACTGTGCCGCGGCACTTTTGTGTGCCGCCAAATTTTAAAAGTGTGCCGCCAAAATTTTGCAAATATTTAAAATTTTTGTCATAAACTATTCATGCAGTGTGTTGTAGTAAGTAAATAATTTTTATCTTTTTCTTTGTGTGCCGCCAAATTTTGAAATCGTTAAATATGTGACGCAACAAAAGAAAAGGTTGAGAATCACTGATCTACATAGTAAAAAAAAAACACTCAAAACCCAGTGGCAGTACCTGATCAATTGAATGGTCAGGTTTAATAAAAGATTTCAGAATTGTTCTTAAAATGTTCCTCTAAGAAAAACGAGTGTCATTTCTCATATATAAGATATTAGAATTATCGAAATACATTCAATGAAATTTGAGAAAAATGTACCATAAAAAAAGCAACTTATGAGTCTCTTAAGTCATTTAATTCTTTATTAAAAATACATTTATTAAAAAAAAAATAGGAAGAGAATGAACAAATGAAATGTTAGCTTTTGCTTTTAAATTTAGTAATAAGTTTTTAATAAATCATCAAACTCTATGTTTGTAGATGAAAGTTATTCAGTTTCATGAATACTTTTATAAGGTATTGTATCAATCTAAACATTCCAACTAATCATATATATTTACAATTAGTCTTCTATAAATATTGGCTACAAATCATACATTTAAAATAATTACAATGCATACAACCTATTTTATTAAAAAACAGTTGGTCAACGACACTCTATGTTTATCCACAGTGTAAATAACAAACAGTGGTCCAATGCATTTGACATGTCCTCAATGATTACAGGATAATTCAGAATGTATTCTATCTCGACATGTTCTCTGGACAACTGGTAGTTAAGTTTGTCTATTTACTTTAGTGCTTTTTTTTTCTCAACAGATATTTATGAACAACTGAATATTTATGTTCTGTTTCTAAATACTTTATAATCTGTTGAATTGATGAAAGAGAATAAGTGTTATGTCCTATAGTGGAGTCAATTCTAAAGTCTCAAATCTCTTATATATCTCCTAAAAATTTTTTATAAAAGCTCAAACATTTTCCTACCAGTCTATGCATGTCTAAACAGACCAATGTCCTGAATTATCCTTGTAATCTGTCCTGAAAGTGTTCAGGACATATGAATGGCATTAATATATTCTCTAAATAAACCTATTTATAAAACAAACATATATATACAGGGTGGAAGGGACAGGTCGATCAAAACAAAAACAGTTGATCCAGATAAATGGCCTAAATCAAATGTTAAATTATTTCACCCACCGAAAATGCACCATAGCCATATAATTAACGATTTTTTGTTCTGACGCCGCGCAATGTATTTGATATTTTACTATCCATACGACGCGCGCTCAATAGCGCCTCGCTTAATGCATTGACCTAACATAGCTGATTACGCGCATTCATACTATTTCAATATAAAATATTATTATTTCTTTATATTATGACATAATATAATAGATCTTATATAATCTTATATATAAATGAAAAAGCAGAAAAAAAATTAAATTTTCTGGAAAGAATTCCCACTGGTTTTCAGTTCAGAATAATGATCTCAATTCACTGTTCTAGTTTTTGTTAACCTGTCCCTTACACCCTGTATATAAATAATATTGTAGGTATTCTTGTAACAGTTTGATTTTGAATATTTTTAGTGCATGGTTCTTACAATATTTAATGTATAATAAAAAGATAAAAAAAAAAATAAAGAAATATGTCAATATTGGAAGAAGCAAAATGATAGAAAGACATCTTTTTAATTAGTACAGAGACAAGTGGACAAAAAAGAGACTTTGTCCCGGATTTGTAATTTATATAGGTCATATGCATTGGACATAAAAAATAAAAAGCTTACCCCTTATTCATAAAAACTACAAACCTCTCATAAACACATTTTAGATATTGTACTTTATCTTTTTCTTTTACACTAAATTTCTAACTTGAAAGAAAGTGACAAAACAGTGTAATATTTAAAGTAGATTTGTAGGTTTTAGTTCTTGTAAATAAGTGGGTTAATATTTTTGTAAAAGAAAAACACTGTTTTTTTGTCATTTAAGACAAAATAACATGCTACATTTAAAACAATATTTAATAGATAATAATAAATAATTTTAATACAACTGTTAATTAGCACTGGTTTCTAGAAATTCTAAGTAAATAAATTTTAAACATATTAAAAAGTAACTGAAAAATAATAAATTAATAAAGTGGGAGACATGGTGCACCAACATTCAACTAAAAAAATAATTCTAAATTCAAAAGAGTTCAATTTTTCACAAATTGTTCATGCACAGTGCCATGCTAATGTTGAAATGTGGGCAAATGCATTTAAGCATCTAAGAGAGCCACTTACAAAAACTTGTTAGTACCGGGTAACAGGTATACAATTTTATGTGTATTTATTCTTTAAATAGAAAATCACTTATAAGAAAATTCTGTAAAAAAGTCACACTGTTTTATGATTTATTATTCTATGGATAATAAATGTTATAAAATTTATTACAGTTTCTATATTACGAAAGTAACCACATTTTTGGTTTGGAGTATACCTTTAGAGGCTCTATGAGCCATGAACTTAGAAAAATTTTGAAGGCTTTTTTATGTCACAATACCTCTACATTTATGGGTCCATCTGATAGGATTCTTCGAGGAGATTATCTTTAGTCATATAAAATTTTTTCGCGCGCCGCTTCGTTTTAAATTTATAGCGCATCAAATATTTCTGGGACTTAGAAATTTTTTATTACACTTTTATTTCTAGAAAACGGGGCGACGTACGATATAGTTACTTTATCTAATTATTTTACAATATAATTTGGTGAGTCGAGTTATTATTTTTAATTAAAAATATTTTATTTTATTTGAAATTAGCTCGGGTATAAACAATTGTATTAAAAAGATATTTGATTATGATTAATTACATACCGGCCTTCCTCTGCGCCATTGATTCCATTCTCCACTGTTGTAGACATTTTTTATATATTTCTTGTTATAAAAACACCGCCAAAATATTTAATTCAACGTGAATATTTTTTCGGCCCTCGCATTCTCATTTGTACCTGTAAATAAATACGTTGTAATTAAAAAACATTGTTCAACGTAACTATATTAATTTCTTTAATTTAACAATAATAAGAGAATATTATGAGTACTTTATATTCGAAGACAATAATTTTATAAAAATTAGAATAAACGAAATTCAAATAAATTCTATTGATCGGTTTGTTTCGATAATTCGTTCGCCGTTCGTAACCAACGAAACATAACATCAATTACCGTCATTCAAATGTCAATATCAAGTCAAACATTTGCGGTTCTAAGATTGCCTACACTGACAATAAGGCAGTTGAAGTCTCATAACTGGTACACATAAGCAGCTTAAACCAAGCATGTTTTTAAAAATCCCTTTGTATACTTGATAGTATATTATAATAATACATTACGAAGGTACACAGTACTTTATGTATTACAAAACTTGAAAATATGTAACCTAAAGTTGTAATAAAAAGCAAAAATTACTCAATAAAGAATTTTATAAGTAGCTAAATATATATGCATAACGAAATTGCTTGGAGGTACATACTATAATATTTTATCAATGCTACCAATCGAATAGAAAAGGCCGGCACTATAAGCTGTCATTTTGTATGTTGACACATGAATGAAAATGTCAAATACTTCAATAAGTAAATATAAAACACTTGATTCTGATTAAATAATGAATAATGAACATTTTTCAATGAGTTACAATAAAATATAACTGAGAGATTACTTTCTGAGTGAAAATAGTGTTTAGTTTTTCATTTATATGTGACATTATCACTCGTCATGACTAAAATGGAACCGAAATCTGAAGTGGAAGGTGAGTTTGAAATTAGTAGTTCCTATATTTTGTTTATAACTGCATTTTAATGTTTATAAATTATTTTAAGAGTATGTATTAAACAACGCTCTAACAAGAATAGTTTTTAAATACAAAACTATATTTATAGACAATATTTTACGTTATAAATATTTTAGGTTAATTTGAGTTTTCTGAACCGATACTTTTTCTTTTCATTTTGAGGGAATTGTTATAGAATCAGCAAGGGCATAAACTCACTGTGCTAAACACTTTCCTATTAAAATTTCTTCAAAATCATTGGATATATATATATATATATATATATATATATATATATATATATATATATATATATATATATATATATATATATATATATATATATATATATATATATATAATAATAATAATAATAATTATTAAATATTTCATCCATTAAATATTTATTAGTAACAATATTCTTAAAAACTAATGTTAGTAAATTTACATACACAATACACATACACACACATACACACATACAATATATTAAGCAGTATACAGATAATCACCGCTGCACAATTCCATTGGAAATTGCGCAGCAGCGATTAACGTACACACAGTCCAGCCTGCTTGCTATCATACTCAGGATGCTGTTGGTGCTGGCACGTACTCTGCGCACCAGGGATGCACACCTTTTTCGCATCGTGGCATAAAAACAATCTACACGATGCTCAGCGAACATCCCTGACGCGCTGCAGAATCGTGGCAGCCCCATCAACACCCTGAACGCGTTATTATATTGGATACGGAGGTCGCTGTAGGATTTTTGAGTATATACAGCCCACAGGTTGCATGCATAGAAAGATGTGCAATGTGATCTAAATAACGTAATTTTAACTTGTCCAGAGCACCGCGCAAACCTGCGTGCTATCATATTCGCCCTCACCGCCAGCGCCCTCCGCTCCCGTTCAATGTCATCATCATCTTTGAGATCCGAGGCCAATTGATGTCCTAAATATTTAAATTTATACACCCTCTTCAGCGCTATACCCTTAAGTTTAATATCTGGAAAGCCTATTGAGTTTTTGCCTCTGCTCTCAAAGACCATGACCACACTTTTCACAGCATTGTATATCAGTCCGTGGCATGCAGCATATGACTCGCAAATAGCCACGAGTTTTTTAAGCCCACATATCGACGCGCTGAGCAGCACCATGTCATCAGCATAACTTATATTATTAACATTAATGCCGTCTATGTGACAGCCGACACGGGTACCACTCAAAGCAACAATCAGATCATTAATATACAGATTAAATAGTACGGGCGAAGACAACCCTCCTTGCCTCACACCACACTCCAATCTGTATGACTGCGACATAGTCCCCGCCCATCGCACGTATATATATATATATATATATATATATATATATATATATATATATATATATATATATATATATATATATACAATACAGTTGAATGCACCTTCATCCTCATCAGAGTAAAAATTAATGAATGAACAATAAAATTTGGTGGATATATTGTTAAATCTATTTATTATATTTTGAGAAATGAAAGGTATTGTTGTAATATTATATTTGAGCTCCGTCTCAAAATACATCATCACTTACCATCAGGTGATATTGTTATCCATTGTGGAATTCTTCATTAGTAAAAAAAAAAAATATTTATGTCATTTGATGATGATGCATCATATTTGTCAGAAACAATGCATAATAAGATATTACAATTTGGCTTTTAATATTCAGTATATAAAATTAATTTTTAAAAAATTTATATTTTAATATTAATTATTAGTAATTAATTTTTGATATAGCATGGAATAAAGACTTTTTTACATTTATATGTTCTGATATAGTAATAAAAAATCATATTACATTTTACACATCATATCAGATCACATCCAGTGAAGATCCAGCTTTACTGATGCCAGCTGCGCCCAACTGCTATTTCACCCATGCATTGCATTCCTCAGGACTAAGGTGTTATACCTCTGTACCCTGTAAATTCACTGCTATATCCTATCCTTCAAACTGAAACAGCCATACAAATACAACTGCTTCACGGTTGAAACATGAATAGCACAGAGGTACAAGCAATTGACTTTGTACAAGTTTCCCTGGTAAATGGATGGATTCATTTAATTTAATTTTAAAGAGATGAAAACAGTGTTGTAAATTAATGTGATTTGTACTGAAATAACTGCAAATAGAGAGGAATAAAAGAAGAAAGAATATGATGATCCAATAGATATAGGGTTAAGGCAGGAAGATAATTAGGTACTTTATAAAAATTGCAAAGCACTCGTTATTGAATTGCTCACTGACTTTATTAATGTAAATTACTTTTTTTTTTTTTATTTTATTATGAATTTTACTATTGAGAAATAAGATGAAAAATTTGTTAAATATATTCAATAAATATTTATTTATTAGACAGTACAATATGATACAATAGCCTTTATATCCTGAAACTCCTTTCAAATAATATTCAATATGTATGTGTGATTTATATTAAAATTTATTTTTATTTATTATAATATGTCTCGAAGTTCGGTGTGCCTCTTGATAAACGACTTCCATTACTTTCTGTCTAACTCTTTTCTGATTGTAACCAACAATTTGTTTCAGTTCATCCTGCCATTTTTTGCATTGTCGACTTCTATTTTGTTTCCCATTTCTAGGGTTAAGTCAATTAAGATTTTGCTCCATTATTTATTAGACAAACAGTTTATAGATAGAGCATTGCCATAATAATTATAACAAAATATTAAGAATTTGTGTACATATGGCATTACTATTTTTTTTATACAACTTAGAATGGTAAACAAGCTGACAGCCTACACGGCTAATGGAAAGTGGTAACCATCGCCTATAGACATGAGCAGTACCATGTACATAACAGAGTATACTGTTTCGCCCATGATACCCCCCATGCGTTGCCATTCCTGAGGACTCAGATGTTATTCCTCTGTACCCTGTAAATTCACGGCATATCCCACCCTTCAAACCGAAACACAGCCATGCAAACATTGCTTTACGGTTGAACACGAATGGGACAGAGGTACCCAAGCAAACGACTTTTGTACAATGTCTCCCTCTGGCACATACTCAAAATACATCTTATTAATTAAGATTATCAATGTGAAAGTTTGTAATGATGGATGAATGGGTGTTTTTGTCTTTCACGCAAAAACTGCTAAACAGATTTGAAATTTAGGGGTACTACATAGGGGTAATACACGGGTAGGTTATATCCTAATTTAGCATGTGAGACACATTATAGACTGTTTCACGCGGTCGAAGTCGCGCGATACGATTAGAATAAAATATAAATTAAAAAAATTATAATTTGGCACCAGTATTAAAGACAATTTATTGGCGCCAACGTTAACTACCACAGTACATTCACCTGTGCCGTCATGCATATCTTACACAATGTGTGTGCCAAAAAACTGAAAATATTAATCAGTAACAACATCTATGAAGGAAAATGACTTAGCCATACTGTTTTTATTTGTTTGTTGTGTATTTATAGTTACGCTGTACAAACAATAAATAGATTTTTTTTTTATAAGTAATATATTTACTAAATATATTTATAAATAAACCCAATCTGTTCATTACTAGTAGTATATCATGTTAAATCGACCTCCACGTGGTCCCTCCTGGAAGTCAGTTAGTCCATCGTGCTAAATCCCAGTTGTATTCATCACGATGGACTAACTGACTCATTCTCATCTATCACTCTTCACTGGTGCCCCGCCAGCGTATACCGTTAGCGCGGGCAGGGTTACCATTCCATTATCATCCAGTAAAAAACAATCCTTATCTAATAAATAATAAGGGTAGGTAATATATAGCAATAATATATTTTAGTTACAATATCTATTGATATAATAACGAATATATTAAAAGTCTGTTATCCAGAAAATAATATTGGATAACAGACTTTTAACATATTCGAAAGTAGATATCCGACCAATATGGGCGATATCAAAATGGGTGATGACCTTTTTTCCGCCATCAGTGTCCAGAGGAACCCAATATATAGATATCGGATCGGTATCCATATCACCCATGCTTATTAAATAATAGTATACCTACTTGTTTGCTATTGACACGAATTAAAGTAAGAAGTATTCCATATTATAATCTCCGCTGTGATTTATGCAATATATATATATATATATATATATATATATATATATATATATATATATATATATATTTGACTAGAAAACATTCTAACGTCTACGTCTTTAGTCTATCAGCATCTATGAAAAAATTTAATTGTTAATAACAGAGACCAGGTACTGTAAGCAATATACACTGTCAGGGTGCTCCACGCATTATCTCCTAAAAACTAATATGCTTATAATTTGGTCAACGAACCTGACTCCATTCTCACTCTCACTTATCGTTCTATTTTCAACGATTAAAACAGTTAACTTAACGTGTACTCTATGCAATTTGTTCCCAATTTGCTTGCATCAGATATCAGTCTGCAGATTCTAATTCATGGCCTTTGGGTTCTATAAATCGGATGAAACCATCATCATGACGTTTATTCTATGCATATATAATATTCATGAAAATACATCCATATTTCCACAGCATGTAGACAACGGAAGCAATAAATTATTTATTAGCTTCAAAGTCCAAGGTGATGCAATGTACATACTGTGTAATGGATATGGGTAATGCTGGATGTTTATGGACGAGGTATTCTCACTTTATACACATGGAAGGTGAAGGCAGCCGGTAAACAAGGTTACTGTCAGTGGCCTGATATGATATGCACTGACATGCATTGACTGCACCTCAGCATAACAAAGAATATGTGTGCATAGTTTATACTTTTACCAAATTATCAAAAATGAAGCCAGACCCCATAAAAAAATTGTTTAGGTTTTTTTTTTTTAATTATCTTTGCGCATAGCTGAAAGTTCCTCTCGCATCTTGATGGGCACCAAACAATTCTGGGGGTAAGCACGGACACAGAGTCATTAC